AATTTATTAGTCGGTATACAGCATGTGATGTATCCGCCATGCCTCGTCTTACTCGTTTTTGTTAATAAAGGTTATGTAAGCTAGTTTGTCATTGTAGCCTACTTTTTTATTGTTGTTGTGCTTTTTAATTAGGAATAACAATAAATCCATCTTTTGTTTTAGTCTTAAAAAGTGAAAGTTGTATAAGCAAAACAGACAATTATCTTTTCTTGTAAAACGTGACACCAAGGCAAGATCGCAAATCTGAAAGTGAAACCGCACGAAAAGAGTAATTCCTGTTCACAAAATTTAAATCACAAATAATACTGATGAAAAAGAACGGGTTGAATGTTGAACACATTCGTTACCATATAACTATAAACTATGATAAAAGTTCATCAGCATGCATTGATTAATCAAAAATTGCGACCAAATTATGTGCTCGTGGGACCAACTGAGAAAATTGGTCGCAAAAGAGCGACCAGTGGGAAGAATGAGTCTAGAGCCCTGATATATGTGCAATATTTTAACCGAGCCCTCACTAACTGAGTTTAATGCCACAGTTATGTTAGAACGCATCTCATTCTTGTTTCCGTGGCAGTGCGTCGGGCTCATCATGGGGCGCGCAGTCCGGAGCGCTGTATGACTGATGTATCTGTTTAATTAAAATTTACTCCAAATATATGAACTTACCTGTTTTAAATACTTTATATTTAACGTATTCGTTTATGTCCAATATTTAGTGTTAAACTGTTGGTCTTTAAAATAAATCTACTTTTGATTTTCACCGTTGACTGATTTTGCAGACCTTTTAGACTGATAACTTCCGTGCGTTGATGCGGCAAACTTGTCACAGGACGCGCGGTCCTAATAGCGATGTATGACTGTTGTATTCGAATATATATGAACTAGCAGTTTTAAATATTTTTGTATTTAACATGTTAGTTTATCAGTATGTTTGAAAGTTTATTATTTAGATTCGCGGTGCTTCCATAGGCTCCCTCTCTCGCACGCGTGCGTGCGTTTAAAACACCAAATAGTTATGAAATAGCCTATGACAAGTACAGAGAGTCTCTCTCTTGCCCCCACCCACCCATGCACGATAATATCGTCTATCGGCGATCTCACGGACTGGCGATATGACGATTTGAAAAATGACCATATCGCCCAACACTAATTATTATTATTATTATTATTATTATTATTATTATTATTATTATTATTATTATTATTATTATTATTATTATTATTTATTTGATTCCTCTGTGTTTGTTAAACATTCTGTAATTTATTAGTCGGTATACAGCATGTGATGTATCCGCCATGCCTCGTCTTACTCGTTTTTGTTAATAAAGGTTATGTAAGCTAGTTTGTCATTGTAGCCTACTTTTTTATTGTTGTTGTGCTTTTTAATTAGGAATAACAATAAATCCATCTTTTGTTTTAGTCTTAAAAAGTGAAAGTTGTATAAGCAAAACAGACAATTATCTTTTCTTGTAAAACGTGACACCAAGGCAAGATCGCAAATCTGAAAGTGAAACCGCACGAAAAGAGTAATTCCTGTTCACAAAATTTAAATCACAAATAATACTGATGAAAAAGAACGGGTTGAATGTTGAACACATTCGTTACCATATAACTATAAACTATGATAAAAGTTCATCAGCATGCATTGATTAATCAAAAATTGCGACCAAATTATGTGCTCGTGGGACCAACTGAGAAAATTGGTCGCAAAAGAGCGACCAGTGGGAAGAATGAGTCTAGAGCCCTGATATATGTGCAATATTTTAACCGAGCCCTCACTAACTGAGTTTAATGCCACAGTTATGTTAGAACGCATCTCATTCTTGTTTCCGTGGCAGTGCGTCGGGCTCATCATGGGGCGCGCAGTCCGGAGCGCTGTATGACTGATGTATCTGTTTAATTAAAATTTACTCCAAATATATGAACTTACCTGTTTTAAATACTTTATATTTAACGTATTCGTTTATGTCCAATATTTAGTGTTAAACTGTTGGTCTTTAAAATAAATCTACTTTTGATTTTCACCGTTGACTGATTTTGCAGACCTTTTAGACTGATAACTTCCGTGCGTTGATGCGGCAAACTTGTCACAGGACGCGCGGTCCTAATAGCGATGTATGACTGTTGTATTCGAATATATATGAACTAGCAGTTTTAAATATTTTTGTATTTAACATGTTAGTTTATCAGTATGTTTGAAAGTTTATTATTTAGATTCGCGGTGCTTCCATAGGCTCCCTCTCTCGCACGCGTGCGTGCGTTTAAAACACCAAATAGTTATGAAATAGCCTATGACAAGTACAGAGAGTCTCTCTCTTGCCCCCACCCACCCATGCACGATAATATCGTCTATCGGCGATCTCACGGACTGGCGATATGACGATTTGAAAAATGACCATATCGCCCAACACTAAGAGATAGGCAATGATCGGACATACCATTATTTTACCGATATTAACACTTTTTCACATAAACTGTTATCAGTTCTTAAATATCAGGTTAACCGATAAATGGTGCCATCTGGTAAAGTTGGGTGCACCTTTTGCAATTGTTGCTTGTCAAGACAGTAAGACATGATCCCAGTGAGATGTACACATATATGTAGAAATAGGCTGATTTCACAGTTCATCTTATCCCAATTGGACATGTTACTTACATAAGACAAATAGCTAGATTGGACTGGTTGTTGGACAACTACTTGATCGGCCTATCATGGCCCATCCCTAGTAAGGATTTGGGTAGATTGCACAAAACCTTTGAACCACCATGAGATCGTTTATTTCTCAGAAAATGCAATTCCAATAACACAAAATTCTAAGAATCAGGGAGTCAGTCTGACACATAGCGCATTGGTTATTAACTAAAACCTTTAAACCTCTCAGAACTGTATACAACGGGGTAATTTAGCCTCCCTTGATCTGAGAACATAGGGATCAAAATCTGCTTCAACCCCACAGCCCCACTCACTCGCTTGCCCTCTTTTTCTCACCCTCGTTTTCTCTAAGTTGAGAGCACAGATAATGAACTAGAGGCTAAGGGTTATCACAATAATTTGGTGCTAATTTGCTCAATTCTAGAACCCTCAAAGGCCTTTAAAAAGCTATAGCCTGCTCAAAGGGACCTGACATTTGTGGTCTTTTAGCCCCCTAATTGACCACCAGGGCAACAATACTGAGAATGAAACTAATTCATCAGCTTGATTTTTCAGATTGCAATAACGTTTGCCCTTCGCCTCCACATTTGACAAATTACCTCAGAGTTTTCCAGCAATAGATTTTTTTTTCTTCAACCAAAATAATTTATCAAGTAAAGAAAAGCATAGAGCATGAAGCAATTGTGTTGAGAAACAGCTCAATAGCAATACTGAAAATAATACAACGTGTTGAGAAGTGGTGGATGTGCAATGCAATCTGGCAATGTGAGTTTCTCTAGAGTGCGCTGGAATGAAATTAATGGAAAAATTCTTTCATCCTCCTGCCCGTAACCCAGGACGACCAAAGCTCATCTGTATGTTGAAAGAGTGAAGCGAGCTAATTAGTGATTTCACCTCACGGGAGAAAAATGAGAGAGAATTCAGTAGTCCATCAGAACTGCCAATGTCTTCACACTGACTCATTTAATGGCTGAAGGATATTTGGAGTACTGAAGGAGTTATTAATAAAGTATCAGGAATGCAGATTCACAGGTTTTCAGTTGTTTAGTCAAAAATAAAATTTTAAGTAAAATATAAAAAATTAAAGACTACATGAAACAGCATCTGCAACCAATTTTAGTTTCATAAAATGGTTTCTAGTGAAACCAGATATGCAACAACTTAAAAAAAATTGTAGAAAAGGACTTTTTTTTCTTTTTCTATTTTTAACTAAATTATATACCCATGTACAATACTATTATTTTTTATAGCAGCTGTTTCGCCAGTTCCCAATTGTTGGGGTCTTAAAATCTTCAATATAACATGAGCATAAGATATAAGCATAAGTCATTTGTTTATTCAAAAAATATTTTAAATGTAAATAAAAAAAATAATGCATACAGTGATTGCACCTGTTCTGTGATTCATTTCTTGTTCTGAATTTAAAAAAAAATATTGTGACATTTTTGGGGCATAAGGTCAAGACTGTCAGAATGATACAACTGTCTTGATATAATAATGAAGAAAAAAAGACTAATTAAAGAGATTAAAAATTGCATAATATTTTATTATATGTTAGAAACAAATATGCATTGAAGCAGTTTATATACATATAAAACCATGTTTTGTGGTGCCTTTTTTATTATCTTGGACTGTTTTATATGTCATTGACCTATTATTAAATATAGCCAAAATAACTATTTGGCATTAACCAAATTTTAGCTGAAAAGAAAAGTCTTCTCAGGGGAAAAACGTGTTTTTTATTTGGAAGTAATAATGCCCACTGATGAACTGTGCACAGTAAGACCAGGGACAAGAAAAAGAAAGCTAACAGGGAAAAACAGTGATTTCATGTTGACTATAAAATTGCTTAAATTGGTTACTCAAGTGTCCTAGAACTTTTCCATATTCCATTTTTGCACTGTTCCCATAATTGACAGAAAGAAGAGAGAGAAAAATCTAACCCAGGGAACCCAAACAGGAAAATGAGGTTGTTTTGTGTTCCTTGGAGGGTGAACTACTGTCAAACTAGAGCGGCGCTGACAGAATGTATTCACGGATCAGAACCAAAACAGAGCACGCTGTGTCACTATCACTGCAGAATCTCATCATTCCTGTGCTACTGCCAGCCAGTCACGGCCAAGAACAAGAGATCAGACACCTAAACTAAAAAGGACGCAGGTGTCTAATGGCACGTCAGCTACAAGCAGTCTGGTCAAGCTGCCAGAGAGGAAGGAATATTCAGCGAGACTGGCTGAGCACTGAAGGATGCTGGGATACTTGAGGGGTGATTGTACATAGAGCAGATCTAGAATGTAGACAAGGGAATCATGCAGAGAGAAAGAAAGAGCTTGATGCTTACCCTTGTGGTTGATGGACCATATGCACTGCTTGCTCTGAACATCCCACATCCTGACAGTCTCGTCGTTGGAGCCGGACAGCAGGAGGGTCCCGTCCATAGACACAGACAAACATGTCACCAGATTTCTGTCCAGGAGGAGAGAGACTGTTATAGTGGAGAGTGTAGGTGCAGATATATACAGGTTTATCTGCTCTACAAACTAACAAGTCTGCCTATATAATGCTGTATATTGTGTATAAAAAATTTATAAAATCATGGTGTAGGGTTTAGCATACATGCTCCAGACATGTTGAGCTATGGTGCTAATGTGGGAGGAGGAGGATTCTTCAAGAAAGAATCCTTTACTTTAAGAAAATGTGATGTTTTTTTTCAAGATTCTCTGATGAACAGAAAGGTGTGTCGCGATCACTGCAGAATCAAATAAAAGAACAGCATTTATTTGAAACAGCAATCTTTTGTCAAATAAATGTCTGAATAAAATTATTCAATTTTAATCATTAATATGTATATATATATATATATATATATATATATATATATATATTCATGTAAATATCTAAACAGACAGCACTGGAAAAAATTAAGAGACCACTGCAAAATGATCAGTTTCTCTGGTTTTTCTATTTATAGGTATGTGTTTGAGTAAAACACATTTGTTTTATTCTATAAACTACTGAAAACATTTCTCCTAAATTACAAATCAACATATTGTCATTTAGAGCAATTATTTGCAGAAAATGACAGCTGGTCAAAATAACAAAAACGATGCAGTGTTTTCAGACCTCAAATCATGCAAAGAAAACAAGTTCGTATTCATTTTATAAACAATACGATACTAATGTTTTAACTTAGGAAGAGTTCAGAAATCTGTATTTGGTGGAATATCCCTGATTTTCAATCACAGCGTTCATGTGTCTTGGCATGCTCTCCACCAGCCTTTCACCTTGCTGTTGGGTGACTTTTTGTCACTCCTGACTAGGGCTGGGTATCGATTCAGATGTTCCAATTAGATTCGATTTCAATTTTCAAGCCCTCAATTCGATTCGATATTCGATTTCAATTCTCGATTCGATTTGACTATATGAATGAATATAGATTTAATACAAATCCTATATTTATAAAAAATTAACAGTGAACATAAGATTACAAATGGTTAATTAATAGGAAATTAAGAGCCACAAACCTGTATATTAAACACTTTTTATTTTAAGTACACTTGGGTACAATAAAACAAAACCCAACTCTATATTTCAAATGCATACAATGAATAGACAGAAATTCGATGCAAGATGAAAAACTGATGCTGAAAATTGGACAAGTCAGAACAGTCGCATGCCTTGATCAAACAGGATCAGGTTATTTTATGTTTAAGACAAAACAAACATAAAATCTCACAGCATTAGCTGTAACATGGAGGCTGCAAGCCTATGAACGGTGTAGGAAATCTAATACTGGCTTTTGGGTAATAGTTCACCCAAAAATAAAAATGTATGCATGTATGAATTTCTTTTCATCTGTTGAACACAAAAGAAGATATTTTGAAGAATATGGATAACCAAACTGTTTTGGTCCCCATTGACTTCCATATATTTTTCTCTATACTATGGAAGTCAATAGGGCCCATCGACTGTTTGGCATATAATTTTAGGAGCACCTTCTAATCAATAATCCAAAATGTTATCAAAAAGTAGCCTTCCCATTACGAGGTGATATTTGACTCCTCTAAATTTATTAAAAGTATGTCATTTTTTGTCAAATTCTTTAAACAAATTATATTTTATAAGCTTTTTAAACATTTTAATTAAAACCACAGAATAAGAACAAGTAGAATAAGAAATATAAGTTACCAATCAAATTAAATC